CCCCTGCCCCCCCCGGAGGCTACGGCCCTGCCTAATTGTATATATGTAAATGGAGGGCGGACTTTCTGTTACACCAAGGAGTTCCAACTCCTTGGTTACACGGACCTCAGTTTAGCTACACCGGTCTAATAAACTCTCCGCGGCCGTAAATCTAGATCTGCATATCGTAAATCTGGATATTCTACACGATCATTTGGATCGTACGTGTCATTGAACACAAGCTTGTCCCGGAATTTTCTGCTGGGTGGCATGTCAGCACCGGCGCCATCTACACCATCGTCATCACTCTCACCACATATCTCATACAGATCATTGACTCCGAGGCAGATCATCATAATGTTCTTGATGAAGAAAACAGAGATGTCGTGGCTCAGCAGGTGCCAGAGATATATGCGGATGGCCAAGAAGGGAACGTTGACCAGAAGTATGTGAGATAAAGTGTATATGAACTGGAATCCTCCAGACAATGGTCGCTCTCCATAGAAACTATGACTCAGGACTACAAAGCAAAAACCTAAAAAAGAAAAACTGTTGCAACAAAAAAGTGTACAATTTAATAGTATAATTTGTTACAATTCTGGATGAAAAAAAAAGTGAAAAGGAGACACACCAAGAATAATACCCTGTGCAAATAAAAAGAAAAACCTTCTTTATAACACGTGTTTTAACTTAATTTAAAATCCATATAGAACAAAAAGATCAATGTAAGAATATTTCAATCTTAAACTTTGGTACATTAACATTACATTAATTGTTTGAACAAGTGTAGAGCCCTACCTGGTATAATAAAGTTAATGCAAGGAAACGCTATGATAAGATTTTCCAAGAAAAAAGGCAAAACAAGCCTGGATTCCTGCACAAACAATATCTCCAAAAACTCCACACTGTCTAGAATATCAAACGGCACAGCAGCCACCAAGGTCTGTATGTAATGTCTCCTCTCCAGCGTCTGTCTCTTATTGTGCTGACTTAACACCATGAGCAGGAAAATCGGAGCAGTCAACGCCAGAGCTGTCTTCAGAAAGTTTGGACCAAGGATGTCATCTTCATCCAGCCCTGCAGCTATATGTTTGAAGATCAGCACCACCCTGGGGACCACGAGTCCAGAATAAGTAAACCAAGCTACGTACCCCAGGGGGAGGAGACCCAAGGCACGCCCATGGCACAGATGCGACTCTGACTCCCTCCTATTATTTTTCGTCTTTCTATAGTGCTCCACTGCCACCACAAATGCTACAGCGAAGAGAATGGCGGACACAGCATCTGCCACGAACCAGCAGAACCAGTTTCCACCATAGTGGAGGTAGAGGAGGGTGTCCAGGATCCCTCCCTGCAAAAGAACGAGCAGTATGCTGACTATTCTGGTGATGACCTCCCGGGTCGTGTCGCACACCTGGTAACACACTTTTCTGCACGGCATCGTGTTGTGTTAAACCTTGAAGTCAAATGATAATGGCGTTTATTGAATGTCTGTGCACAGCAGATGTGCTGCACATGTACGGCACGCTCTAGAGTGTGCAGTAGTCACTCAGATATATGCGGCAAAAATCTCAGGGAGCATTCGCATCGAGAAGAGCCGAGCTCTAGTAAGGCCGCGACCTTAATATGGCGGACCTACATGAAAGGAAGACCGCTTAATCCATTAACCTAATGGTCTCTTCGCATCTCACACTCCTCCCCGCGCGTCGTCCCTGCTGGGGCACACTAATTAAATCTCGGCTCAATCCAACCGGTCGCGGGATGTCCGACGCGCGGGGAGGCGTGTGAGAGGCGGAGAGACCATTACATGATTAAGCAGTTTCCCTTTCATGTAGGTCTGCCATATTTAGGTCGTGGCCTTATTAGACCTCGGCTCTTCTCGATGTGAATGCTCCCTTAGTTCCTGCAAGCATATACAATGCACACACATTTGTAAGTAATTTGTACCGTTCATAATAGCGACAAGTGTGCAGCAAACTTTAGATTTTGTCAGGGGTATGCAGGAGACTTGATCTTTTAATAGAATAGTGCCAACCGGTGGGTGGCAAGTGTGAAACAAAGTAACAATTAATGTCTAGAGTACATGTAGCCTTCATGCATACCGCTTTGTAAGCTCCTACATAAATGGCCATGTTACATGTATGACAACGTTCCGGCACGACTTACATCGTCGTATCGGACATTTTGAATTCCTCCACGAACAAAATTAACAAATTCTAGCCTCCAAAATACTACGATAAAATATACCTACGGTTGATCTCTATAGGTTTATAGTCTAACCCGCCGAAGCAATGCTTGCTTCATGCAATCCACGGTTACTGGGGTAAATATAACCATATGCAAGGGCGGACTGGGGTAGCTGTTAAAATGTCAAATAAAAACTCGGTGATAACGGCTATCATGCCATATATCTGCACTTGTAGCTAACACAGACGGGATTTACATATAGGCCACGTAATCTGACCGCAACGGCTGAACGGAGGAGATGCGGTTATTTTGATAACCTTTTGATCTTGACCCGCGTTGCTAGTTTCGTTTTATTCGTCTACTACATGATCATACATGTAGCTGCTACATCGTATCGCCAGGGTAGTCTGTCTAAACTGTGCATGTTCACGAGCGTCCACAAGCTTCCTATGTATAACATGGTTGTAAAATCGGTTAACGGATATATATTTGACAAATAAAGGCATTTTAATTTGGAAAAGAAGATACCTGTATAGTGCCCTAATATGTCGACTACGTCGGCCAAATGAACGATAACACGCCGATAAAGCCTCTAGATGTGTCGCACCTAGAGTAAATACTTTGCGTGTACCGTATGAACCACCGTGTTTTTAGCGTATTAAGATGAAGATACATTGTACAAGCAGCTTTGTTTTAAACATACTCAAATCATCCTATGTCCCTCCGGTTGTGCCAACGCACACTGGTCAGCGTTTGCCTGCGTACTAAACTAACGGATCCCACGTGTTTGTTAATTTTGCGCGTTGGTAATTCTTCTCATACGTGTTAGTGCTAGGCCTATACGCTAGCTGTGTCATGTATTATTGGTATAGAGACACGAATCCACTACAATGAAATAGCAGGAAAACCCATGATTAAAAAAAAAAATAGTTGGGGAATCAGTTAGTAAATAAAGAAGGATTCTTGCTTTCATTTATGGAATGTGCCATGCCAAAAAGTGTATTTTATTTGCGCGTTCGGGCTCTTATAATAAGTACATGAGGCTAGAGCTCTGGCTGTGATGGGGGGTTCGAAATTTTTTAGTTTTGGATAAAAGACGCAACGGCAGATTGTTGGTTTACAAACGGCAGTACGAATCCTTTTTCTTTTTCAACTGCCTCGACTAAAATGCATGGACCCGCAATGCTTGCTGGCAGCTTTGTTACAAATACAAACATTTTAATTAACGGCTAAAATAATTTTTAGGATTTTTCAGATTTTCGTCTATTGACACAATAGAGCGAATGTCGCGTTACTTGAACCGATATTGTAAAAACTTTTCGTATAGCTCATTCTTATCTGTGCCAATGTTTGTTGCCTACTCAGTATCAGGCACTTTGTTGGGGCAACGTTTTTGCGCGCGGTAAATTGAGATCGTGGTCGCATATAGGCCCTACATGTAGGCTATATCGCCTTACAAAGATATCACAAAAAAAATGAAAAGATATAGCGATTCAGGGTTGCGTCTCTGGTTTTTGATTTCAATCTTTTTTTTTTCAGGTATTGTTATCGGCAAGCTGTGATCAGGGGAGTATTTTCTCATAGATAGAATATAGGATAATTTTAATTACTTTTAAATCTAGTTCATTGTCTAGTTTTTTTTTTTTTTTTTTTTTTTTTTTTTTTTTTTACATTTTTCTTGGCTCTTTGTTTTCGGTGAATTTCGCCACAAAAATTTTTTAAGATGAGTCTATATCATATTCTCACAGCTGAGGCATTGCCACAAACTATCTTTATGGGACCTTGTGGCTGGAGGGTCTATATATTTATGTATTAATATTAAAATTAGAATATGTTTCGGGAAGGGAACCGAAGAATGATAAAAAGGAGGGGGCCAGGGGGAGTACTTTCATCTTAACCGGATGTTAATTTTCTGTACTCTAAACCATGAAGACTCAGACCAGCGTAAACAAGAGATGGGAATTTCCTGACGTCCAAATCGAGTCATTAAGCATGTCCGAGGAGTGGAAGTCATCAGGTTTGTGTCTCTCGTAATCTTATGATAGATTTGGTTTTGGTTCTGCAAGCATAAATTATCATTTTAGGGGTATTCTGATTATATTTCACCGCTTCCTTCATTCATTCTTTTGATGCAGTTTTCGGCCTAAGTTACATGTACAGCTGCGATGCCAGTTCACACTATTTATTTCGTTACGTTTGCCTTGTACAGTGTTCTTTTTTTTTTAAACATATGTGTAAACGAATCAATTATTTCTTAATGTGGCGCAGTTGTACACTGACTTACACATACAATAAACATTTGTTGCCGTATTACCTACCATAACAGTACAGATACCAGCTACACATGTACTGTACAGTGTACAGTGCACAAGCACCAAAATTCACGTGTTACTACTGTTTTAACAGTTAAAACATATTTGATATGTGCTTTATGTAGTGTTGGGTAAGTTGGTCACTACTAAGTATTGGATATACAGTCTAAATTAACCATGAATATACTGAGTATAAGATAGATGCTGGTGGATACCCATGCAGTACTGTACCCTGTAGATATATAGATATACATGAACTGTTTTTGCCTTACATTTCTTTTTACTGCCATATATTTAATGTTTAAGATGTGTATTAAGAAGCACAAAATTGATTGCTATTTCAATTTTTTATTTTCAGGCTGAGCAACAAAGATACATATATCACTGTGATTTAGGATCCCCCCCCCCCCTCAGTCATGCCAGCAGGGAAGATACTAGTGGAGGTGTGTCACAAGTGTTATCCATGGCCCATATACATAGCCTCCCTTCTGTTGGTGATAGCACAAGGTAATTAGCACTGTGTGGGCTGAAATATTCTTAGGTCTTGTTCCAAATAAAAGTATTGTTCTCCGTAAATTAATCCAATGCTTCGGGAATTCTGACCGAATGCATTGAGACTAACGGCATTAAGTAGAATACAGAAAAGCTGATTATACCAGTGTTAATATGTTAATCTGATTGCTTTCAGCGAGAGTCCCTGCAGAGTTAGATCGATATACCTAAAATTGCCATTGAAATCCAATATCCATTAGTGCTTTTATTTATTGTAGGGAGTCTGTTAAACTTTGGCTACTTGGTCCCCCACTTCCAGGGAGACTGGTTCTGGTGGTTTGTGCCTGACATGGGCATTACAGCTGGCTTTATTGTCACATTTCATGCTGCTCACAAATTCCACAAACGCACAAAAAATGTGGCGCCAGGTCAAGAACCCAAACCTGAAGGACGTCTGGAAGGTATTTATTTACAAAAATTAATTAAAAATATATGCATTTTAGTTGTTCTCAAGCTTTTTTTTTTCTCTCTCTTTCCCTCCTCTTTCTCTCTCTCTCTCATTCCCTCTCTTAAAGACAGTAATGGTAGAAATGTGTTTTGGTTGTGATGAAACAGTTCATTACTGCATTCAATGCACATTTTGTCATATTTTATGGTTGCCTGTGCCAAAATCTTTATAGTTTTCCAGTCTGAAAAAAATTGATAAGTTGGTTAACAAATGTGACTGACCCAAAAATTTGTGGAAATCAGATTTTTTTGACACCATTACTTTTTTCTAATGAGAAAAATATGCATTGGGCATTGGTTTGGTAAAATGGAACAAGTCATCCCAGAAAAAATATTTACACTGTTGTTTTTGTTGCTCAAAAAATCACAGGCCACTGTGGTACTTCCAACACACACAAACACACAGTAAATAAATGAAAAAGGTTATTTAAAGGTGATGAGGGTTTTGTATGATATCCCATATGTTATGACTCCACTTCAGGTGGAGAGTGGCAGGGTCTTCTACCTCTGGGTTACCAGGCTTGGCTGCTGTACTCTGGGTTCCTACTTAACACACACACACACACACACACACATTTTGTATGATATCCCATATGTAATGACTTAATTCACTTCAGGAGGAGAGTGGCAGGGTCTTCTACCTCTGGGTTACCTGGCTTGGCTGTTGTACTCTGGGTTCCTAGTGGCCAGGCTGGTGATCATCTTCAAAAACATAGCAGGAAACCTGACAGAAGATGTCTTCTTTGGTCCCAATTTCCTCAAGTTGGTGATGGCATTCACAGGTAATAGTCTAATGAATATAAATTATCTAGTAACTAGTAATACAGATAGTCACTAATTTGAGCTGCAAGAT